AATCACGCTCCATAGTAAGCCAAAAGCATCCGGTTCTCATGATTTTCCTTGCTAGCAAATGACCATTCATGTGAGGTCCGTAAACGCCACTATGCACTTCTTTCATCATGTATTGAGCTTTGCCTTTGTCAATGCACCTTAACAAATTCAAATCTGAGGTTCTTTTGTACAAAACTTCTCCACTTAAGAAAAATTTTGAAGCCATTCTATGCAGAAAACCCTTATCATTTGTACTAACATGCAGAGGGTAAGACCCAGTTTTGAGAAACTCCTTAATATCATTATACCAAGGAATATTGTCAGAGGACTTGTCTACAACCCAACAGTGGGCAGACTTGTCTTGAAGTTGAATCTGTATTGGTTCGATTCTCAATTTATCTGGATACTGGATCATAGAAGTTAAGGTGGCCAAAGCATCAGCAAATGCGTTTCGGGCTCGCGGGAGATGTTTGAACTCCAAATTTTGAAATTGCTTGGCCAGAGTGAGCAGACTACAATGGTAGGGCAGAATTTTTGAATCTTTGGTTATCCACTGCTTCAAGGTTTGGTGCACGAGCAAATCTGAATCACTGAAAACTATCAACTCTTTGATTTCCATTTCTAAAGCCATTTTGAGACAAAAAATGCAGGCTTCATATTCAGCCATATTGTTTGTGCAAGCAAATTGCAATTTGGCAGCGGCAGGGTAATGCTTCCCTTCGGGTGAAACCAAAACAGCTCCAATTCCAGCTCCGAGAGAATTCGAAACTCCATCGAAGAAAAGCCTCCATTCAGGGCTTTGCTCACTTATATCGTCTGTAGCGCCTACAAATAAGACTCTCTCATCGGGGAAATAAGTATGAAGTGGTTGATAATCATCATCCTTTGGATTTTCTACCAAATGATCAGCTATAGCTTGTCCCTTCACTGCCTTTTGTGACGTGAAAACAATATCGAATTCTGAGAGAATTATCTGCCATTTAACCAGACGTCCAGTTAGCATCGGCTTCTCCAATAGATACTTCAAAGGATCAGATCGGGAAATAAGATAAGTGTTATGGCTCAACAGGTAGTGTCTCAGCTTGCACAGCAGCTTTTCTCAATGAATGAATAATTAGCCTCATACTGCGTGAACTTTTTGCTTAGATAGTAAATGGCTTGCTCCTTCCTTCCGGAATTATCATGCTGTCCGAGGACACAACCAACTGCTTCTTCAAGCATAGATAGGTACATGATTAATGGTCGACCTGGCTTGGGTGGCACCAAGACTGGCGGATGTAACAAATAATCTTTGATCTTATCAAAAGCTTGTTGGCATTCTTCACTCCAATACAATGGCACATTCTTTCTCAACAATTTGAACAACGGCTCGCATGTGGCAGTTAGTTGGGCAATGAATCTTCCAATAAAATTGATCTTCCCTAAGAAATTTTTCACGTCCTTCTGAGTTTTCGGCACTGGCATATCTCGAATGGCTTTGATTTTCGCTGGATCTATCTCTATGCCTCTTTTACTAACAATGAAGCCCAACAATTTACCAGCTGGTGCCCCAAAGGCGTACTTCGCAGGATTTAGTTTCAAATTGTACTTTCGCAACCTTTCAAACAGCTTCTTCAAATCAACCAAATGGTTCTCTGCCCTTTTAGACTTGATTATGATGTCATCCACGTAGACCTCCATCTCCCGGTGGATCATATCATGGAACAAGGTGGTCATGGTCCTTTGATACGTAGCTCTGGTATTCTTTAAACCAAAGGGCATCACTCGGTAGCAAAATGTGCCCCAAGGGGTGATAAAAGCAGTCTTCTCCCTATCCTCTTCTGCCATCAAAATCTGGTGGTATCCAGCGAAACAATCACAAAAAGATTCAATCTCATACCCAGCGGTATTGTCCAGGAGAATGTGAATATTTGGCAAAGGAAAATCATCTTTAGGACTGGCCTTATTGAGGTCTCTATAATCAATACAAACTCGCACCTCTCCATTCTTTTTTGGAACAGGGACTGGATTCGAAAGGCAAATAGGGTAATGGGAAACAATGATAATGTTGGTTTTGAGCTGTTTTTCAATTTGCTCTTTCATTTTGAGGCTCATATCTGGTTTGAATTTTCGGGGTTTTTGCTTTACGGGTGGAAAATTAGGGTCTGTGGACAACTTATGCACTACCACATCAGTTGAAATTCCAGTCATATCATCATAGGACCATGCAAACACATCCTGGAACACAGTCAAGAATTCAAGCATCTCCTTTTCTGCCTCTCATTCAAATGAATACTAATTTGCACCTCCTTAACCTCATCTTTAGTGCCAATGTTAACCTTTTCTGTTTCTTCCAGGTTCGGTTTTGGTTTCTCCTCATATTGTTCAAAGTCCTTTGCAAAAGAATCGAATACCTCCTCATTATCACTCTCGCTTTGGAGCTCGGATTCACAGACCTCCAAGTCGTGAGTGATATAGAAATTGCCATTATCGAATTCAAGAATTGTGATATCCAAAGGGTCAAATAGTTTTATTTTTGGCCATCTGAAAGAATTAACGAATGTGGGATAATAAGCAAACAAACATACAACAGATAAATGAATAAGCAATATGACAAACGAATAAACAAACATCATGACAAGAACCACTTGTGCATTTTCATAAAACCTTTGATTGAAAGCGAAAACAAAAGGAAAGCAAGCGAAAACAATATTTACATGTGCAAATTTTAGTCAAAAATAAAGATACTTTCATTAGCTATTTACAGATGCAGAAGTATTTTCATGAATTCGCATGAATGACAAACCCCTTTAGTTTTACTGAAACTCCTTTTGAATGGGCAGAAACTCGGCTGTTCAATTGAAAATTGATCCTTCAGGGATATCGGAAAACTCGACCTCATCTGGGAAACTGTCTTCAAATGCTGTCCCAACGAACAATTGGGCCAGACTGATTTCGATTTCGTCAACTGGGTTAATCTCTGACGTGATCACCTCGGTTGGTCGTGGAAAGGTATAACGCAATGGTGGAATATCAAAAGCCTTTTGCCTGCCTTTTTTCTCTACTCTCTTGCGTTCCTTCATTTCTTTGATGTCTTTAGCGGTTGGTTGGAAACCCAAACCGAATGAATCCTTTTTCTCCACAATTTCCACTGGTTTCAGAATTTCTTGTAAATCACGTCTCAGCCCTTTGTCAAACTCATATCCTCCACGGATCATTTCTTTAGCCATCATGACACTGGCCTTTGATAGAACTCGTTCCTCTTTTGTTATCCAACTTACAGAGACGATATCAGCTGTGCTATGAGGGGTCACGGTGGCGTTTCGGCTACCATCCTCTTTGGACCCAGAATCAGCAATTACGAAGCAATCCTCCTCGGCAAAGATAGTTATCAACTTGTCATTTACTATGAATTTTAACAATTGATACAATGAAAAAGGCACAGCCCCGGACTTATGAATCCACGGCCTTCCAAGCAAAACATTGTAAACACTAGGAAAGTGCATAACTTGGCAGGTTATTTGAAACTGTGCGGGCCCCATCTCGATCACTAAATTCACTTCTCCTATTGGTTCCCTTTGTGCTTCATCAAAACCTCGAACTATGGTTCCTGAAGACCTCAGCTTGATATCTTGCAACCCTAGCTTTTCCAAGGTACTCCAAGGACAGATATTAAGCACAGATCCGTTGTCAATCAACACCTTTGGCAGCATTTTTCCATTGCACCTCACAGATATGTACAGAGCCTTGTTATGTCCAATACCTTCTGCTGGTAATTCATCATCAGAGAAAGTGATTTGTTTTGTAGATAATACACTCCCAACTATATGTGAGAAATTAACAATCGAAATGTCCTTAGGGATTTGAGTTTTAGTCAACACTTCGAGCAACGCATCCCTATGCATATCCGAAGAAAAAAGCAGATCCAACATGGATATTTGGGCGAGCGACTTGCTTAGCTTCTCGACTACGTTATATTCACTTTTTTGCAGCCTTTTAAGAAACTCCAATGCTTTCTTCTCAGTAATTGTTGGTTTAGCAAGCAGCTCGGGGTTATTTGTTTGAATCGGAATGGTAGCTCCAAATGGGCTGGCAATCTTCCCTGATCTAATGACCACTGACACCTCTTCTTTGGCAATTGACTTTTCTCCAATTTGTATGACAGGTTCATCGTAGTTCCATGGCACTTGCTGCAAACTTAGAACAGGCTCCTGATCTAGGAATTTAATGACTACTGGCTCCAAAACTTCACTCTCAGCTGGCGTGAGATCCAAAATAAAAGGTTTTTTGTCCTCCTCAAACGGTTCCTCTATTACAAATGGTTGGTCTGTGACCCCAAACACCTCAGCTTCCCTTGCCAAGTTTTGGGCTAGCTCGTCATACTCTGTGTCGTCCAAAATGACCCCAATGGTATTAGCATGTTCCGGCAAGGGGTTCCTATTTATATTCGGCCATTGTGCCTCCCTTTTCCTAATTACAATCTCTCCAACTTCAATCATATCTTGAACTTTATGCTTAAGAGCCTTGCAATCCAAAGTTGAATGTCCGGGTGCCCCTGAATGATAAGCACAGACAGCTTGTGGGTTATACCAAGCGGGCATGCCATATGGATAGGTAGGAGGGGGTACCATACCAATTTTCCCGACGGCCTTCAACTGGTCATACAATTGGTCTAGAGGCCTGCCTAAATTGGTAAATGTACGGCTAGGGGGTCGGTTGTAAGGTTCAGGAGGTTGAGAATGACTGTAAACAGGTATATTTGGGGGAGAAAATCTTGGGTTATATGGAGGGCGAGGTCGATTATGGGACGGATTTGGTTGAGAAATTTGAAAAGGAGCTACAAGTGGGTTAGGATAGCTTGGGTGAGGTCGAGGGTGGTGGATATTGGTAGTATATACATGGTGCAGGTTTGAATAATAAGGGTAATGTGGTTGATAGGTTGGGTTGTGTTGGTATTTGGATTTGGGTGAAGAGTTCTGGTTCCAGATAAAAGTTGCATCCCCCTCTTTCTTTTTAAACTGCGGCTTCTTTCCACTGCTACCTTACCCTTGCAAAGCTTCTACTTGTGATTTTAAGACAGAGATGTTAACAATTTTTCCGGATCTCACAAAATCATCATACTCTTCGAGTTTATTCACAATCGCAGCAAACGAACATCCGGTCATACGGAAGATTTCTTCAAAGTGTGGAGGATCATGCGCCTTTATACAAGTGCGAACAATTTCATTTTCGGTCATTGGAGGCTCAACCTTAGCAACTATCTTTCTCCATCTTTTGGCGTATGTCTTATGATCTTCAGATGGTCTCCTCTTTGTGCCTTCCAAAGTAGTTCGGGTCGGTGCTAGCTCGCAATTATATTCGTATTGTCTAATGAAGGCGTTGGACAAATCGAGCCAAGTCTTCACCTTCTCTGGTTTTAAGTTTGAATACCAATCGAGGGAGACTCTCTCTGGAAATAACCTTAACGGTAAGTTTTCATCATCCACCGGCCTGCCCAATTTGTTGGCAAACAACCGCAAGTGTGTCTTACGGTTGCCCGTACCATCATACTTATTGAACTTCGGGATCTTGAACCCTACGGGCAGCTGTACATTTGGAAACAGACACAGATTATCGTAGTCTAACACCCCTTGTTTGTTTAAACCTTGGCTTTTCCTAATGAACTCATCGAAACGATCTAACCTCTTAAGTAGCTTCATATCCACCGGGGCAGACGACTCTCCCACTTCTAGCTTGGTTTGAACAGTGTGTTCTGGTACAACAGGCTCTGCGGTAGTCTGATAAAAAGCTTGTGGATCCAGAGGCATGTTTGGACCACCTTGAGGCTGAAATCCTTGCCCATAGGGAGGATAGAACGGAGGATTTTGAGTATAAGTATACTGCGGGTTGAAAACTCCTTCAAAAGTGGTTTGAATTGGAGGAATGACAAATGGTTCGGATTCCGATTGTTTGACAGGTGCAGGCTCGGGCTGCACTCCGCTACTAATGAGCTCGTCGGTCAACTTCTTTTAGGCGGCCATTTCAGATGCCATTTCCCCAAATTTGGTGAGTAATTCAGTCAACTGAACCCCGGGACTTGTGGCTTCCGGCTGGGTAGTTGCAGCGGTCCTATCAGACGATTCTGGCTGAATACTCATGTCTACACGATTCCTTTGGGCTTTACTTCGGGATCGCGTAATAATGGGGCTTTTCCGAGAATCTATTTTGAAACTTTACCTGAGGATGCAAAGGACATCTTTAGATAAACCAATCATTACTAGATTTCTGCAACTTATTCAAAAGGAAAAAAAAAGAAAAGACATGAGTTAGTAATTGTTCAAACAATTCAGATGCATGTCCTATAGGGGGAACCCTTTTTGTGCCAAGGGTAGGCCTAGCATGATGCAAACCTTTGGGGTAAAATCCCATTTCCAAACCTGTAAGTGAATTTAGAACTCTGAAATGGAAAGCTTCTCATAAAATGTGGAAGAGTTCAATCTTTCTTTACAACATCATCAATGGTCTTAGTAACCATATTTACAAAATCCCTATGTCTCAAGAGACTTGTATTTTGTGACTCTCTAGAGCTCCCTAAACTGAGCTTACAAGCTCCTTCCCTAATCCTATCAAGGGCGTCTATGGCTTCCTCTAGTTTCTCATTCTTCTTCTTCTCCCTCCTCAACTGCACTTGGATATCTTCTAAAGCTCTGTTGGCCATTATAATCTGGGCTTGAAATTCCTCTAATTCTTTCCTTAGCTTCTCCATTTGTTCTTCGGGACTTGGTGATGCTGATTGTTGCCTTGCCCTATCACGTTCCACCCTTTGTTTGATCCATTCGTTGTACCCAGGCATAACTGCAGGTGCCATCTTGTTTACCAATTCCAACTGCAAATTCTCAAGACCTTGCAAATTTTCTCAAACCTCTAATACCATGCTTCGACTCTCGGTCACCGTACCCAATCTGAGATCTTCAATCACTTGTACCATAGGAATGCTTTGCGGGTATCCAAACTGTCTCATAACCGTTTGTGGAATATAGGCTACTAGACCATTAACTCCAGCTAGAGGGATGAAGTCATGTTGAGCGGTCCTAAAAGTTGGGTCCCTAACCTTGGTCCAATCTAAAACCCACTGCACTTTTCCTGGTGTCAAATTGTTGAACTCCTCAATAAACTGGCTTGACGACATCACGCGGTAGTAGCGGCCGACTCTCTCTCGATGCCAATCGATCCAATTCTCAACTGGGAGACAAGAACCCAAAGGGTTAAGTGATCTCTTCGCCAAATATTTCATGATCCACATTTGAAGTACTAAATTTGAAGCATAGAAGAAACCCCCTTTCCTTTGGCAATTGGTAAGGACTGAGAAGATGTCCGCTATGACAATGGGTATCAAAGTTGGTGTCGTTCCACAAATTCCTAAAAAAAGACTTTGAATCATGTTGATTGTTGCAAATGTCACCTTTCCATGCCTTTGAGGGAATAGCAATAAGTTGATCAAAACCAAACCAAAAGCTTGCACACGTTTCTCTTTCCATTGCTCCCTTGTTATAAAGAAATCGATCTGATGGCGCTCAAAGGACTCCTTTTCCCCAAACCGGTCATATAAAAACCTCAATGGACAAGATCTAGCGTCGGGGTGTTGGTCTAAACTATTGTTCCTCAATCCCAAAAATCTGCAAAACTGCTCTCTCGTTCCCCTGCTCAGGTATATCATAGGACTGTCTTTTCTCGATACTTGCAACAATCCCTCTAACTCTTCTAGAGTTGGGGTGAGTTCGCACATTCCAAACCGAAAAACTGAGGCATCCGGATCCCAATAATCGATCAATGCTTGGATAGCAGACACGTTGGGTATTATGTCGACAAGACTTGGTAGATGCCCCACATATTGGAATAGCCCTCCAATCTCATAAGACAGGTTATTCTTCCACTGATTCAGCTCTCGGGGGACTTGGTTGAGCATTCGACACTGCGTCATCTGGATTGGGAATTCACTTAGATACCGTTATCTTGGGATTTTACCCCTTAGGTTCATTTACAAAAAGAGTAAACGTGCAGATCCCAAAAATAGGGTTAAGTACCCATGGGATTGTAGGGTGGTTTATCCCTAATCATGGAATTGCCTAAATGGCGTTCCTTCTAAGGTTTAATGCATGATGCCATTTATTAAAGCGATGTAAATATGTGACAAATATGACCTAAAGGACATAAATAATGCATCGGGGGGAAAATGTCTAAAAATGAAATGTACTTATTGAAGATTAAGTGTAATAACTGAAATTTAAACATGTGAGTTATCTAGTGGGTAAGTCACTAAAAGAGTGCTAAAGAGGCCTCTTATTGCTAAGGCACATGAATGCAAGCCAAGAAAACAATGAAATGGTTAGTGCAATTGATAGTACACATAACATATTGGGAGCAATTAAGAAAAGAAATACAATAAAAGCATGTAAAAGGGGTGGAACCCCTTCCCTCGTGCCTAATGTGCCTAAAAAGGGTGAGACTGACTCTAACTTAGGAACACTCTAACATGGATGCATGAGGCTGGGGCTCACTAATCCAACTAGACTCGATAAGGTTTAAAAAGGTCCCCAAGCCTTCAGACCTAAGGGAATGGGTCATCAATCCCAAGACTCTCGGTCGGTGGCTCGAGCGATCCCCTAGGTACTGCTATGGGCGCAGAGCACACCATCCACATATCTAGAGAAATCATTCCTAATCCTATAAGACGGTGTGGGAAAGAGCCCACGAAAATAAAATAAAATGGGATAACAGTAAATAAACGTGCACGTATGAAGTGTTCCCTATTTTGAGGGAAAGGGTTAAGACCCAACGCGAGGCTCTAAAGGTGACACACCCCCCTCAAATGCAATGCAAAGCGCGATATAAAACAAATAAAACATACATCCAAGCAACCAATCATACATACGTGAGTGAGGGAGTAGTTTGATACACGCACGAGGCAAAAGGTCCTAAAATGGAAAAATGCAACCCTAATATCCAAATGCTACGCATAACAAGAGTAGAAAACGGAAAAGAATAGCTAAATCATATGCTTGGACCCACTTAGGAAGTCCCCAGTGGAGTCGCCAAGCTGTCGCGCCCCACTTTTTGAAATGGTGTGAAAGTAATGTGTGAGATATGTATGTGAACGTGTGTGAAAATGAAGATAAAAGGCCGTGGGATTGTGAAATGCGACGGTCTGGCCAAACATATAGTTTAAAAAGGATTTTTTGAATGAAAAATGGAGTCGCCACTTGGTATAGAGTTAGGGTGTACCAAGTCACCCAAAAAAGTGATTTTTTGGAAAGAAAAGTAAACAAAACCCTTTTTTAAAGAATTTTCAGGTCTACGTAACCAAAAAAAGGGATCGGGGGTCACATTTAATAAGGGAGAAGGCAAAGGCAAAGCCTAAGGCACTCCCTTACCCTAGTCAAAGCTAGTTGCGTGACTTAGCCCTTCTTTTTCTAATTTTTCTACCCAAAGTATGTGTTGCATGTTGGATATGACTAATGGATATGAAAACAAATGCAATCCTAAATCTAAAAATGTTTCTTATGAGACTTTTTGGTCCCAACCACATGAATTGTGATGGCCAGTAAGGAAAGCCCTCATAGAAGTCATGAATAATGCAAATGAAGACTCAAGTATGAGTGCAAGTGTGAAAATGTAAGAGGAATGCAAAATAAAATAAAATAAAAATACAAATGTAAATGCAAGTGTGCAAATGTAATAAAAGTGCATGTGTGCAAACGTAAGAAAAGTGCATGTGTGCAAATGTAAGAAAAGTGCATGTGTGCCAATTGAGAAAATGAAGGTGTATGTGTGCAAGTGGATCAAAATATGGTATAATGGTAGTAAATACATCTACGTACAGCTGGGTGCAATTTGTGAGGTAGAAAATAAATAAGTGATAGGGAAAGAAGAGAAATGTGTGTACATGGCATGTGGAGTGAGAAAAATATAAGTAGTAAGAAAATGTAAAAAAATGATATGGTAAAATGGAGGTACATGAACCTAGAGGAATGCATCAGGTAGGGTACGGGAATGACTTCTATCTTCATGATTTTAATTTTCCCTTTGATTAGAAGGAATAACTAGCGTGCTAAGGCTCTTTTGTAGCCATACTCGCTCGTTTCCCTTACCGAAAGGGGACTCTCAAGCAAATGTACCCTATAACTAGCATGAAGATGCAAAAACCTAAAATGAAGGGGAAAGGATTGGAGAAGCATGCCAAATGCTAGAAAACTAAGAAAAATGTATGAAATGTAGTGAAACATGCAAGTATGTTGTGAGAACCCTGGAAAAAAAAATGGATATATAAATTAGTGCATATTTCATTTGCATTTCTTTTATTGTTCAATAACTTCTAGCATTACTTTTAATTGTTCACAATTAAGCGTGTAAAAATAGGTTTATGTGAAAAATACTATACTCTTCCAAAGTTATGAAATTTCTTGGTTCTATTTGACTAAATTACTATCTTTAGGGTTGGATTAAATTTTCACCTTAAAATTAAATGTTAGATTTTTATTACAAGGTCAAACCTGATTTTAATAAGGAATTAATAAAGTAAGAATGTAGGAACCTTAATACTAAATAGTAAACGATGAAGAGTCAGTAAAACGGTTTAAGTATACTAACGTATATTAGGCCATCAAATCACACTTGGGGACAATTGTTGGAATTAAGATAGAATTGAGGATTGAGAAGAGGTTAGGGGGCAAAGTGAAAGGACCAAAAGGCCCTTCGTAATTCACCAAATCCCCACTGCACCACAACCATCACCACTCATGGCCAAACGACTCCTTGGACACCATGATTG